TGCTTTCTGTTGCATCCCAGTGATACTGACAACATTCAGGTAATAGTAGAATTTTCTTGGAATTAAGTTGCCAAAATGGTTTTAAATCTATGCTTCTAGCAAAATTAAAAATGTATTTTCAACCTATTGATCTATATGCTCTTTTTACTTGGAAGGAAGTTTATATTTGAGAGATGCTATTTATAAGGTATATGGATAAAAATATTTAATATATGTGTGTGTGAATATGTATATGTAAATATGTGGAGAGACAGAGAAATTTATGAAAACACTACCTCATAACTGCTTCAGGATAGAAAGATATTTTGAAAGTGTGTGTGTGTGTGTGTGTGCATATATATATATACACACACACTTTGCTGTGTATTATATATATACACATGTATATAAATATATGTGTGTACACATATATATGCACATACATTCATACATATATACACACATGCATACACACATCCACTTTGAAAATGCCACCTATCAAATAACCTTCCTTCAGAATAGGAAGAGAAATTTCATTCAGAATAACTATAGAATATGTAAAATATTTGATAGTCTACCTATCAATACACAAAGAGAAACTATATTAATACAAAACACTGTTTAGAGAAATAAAGACAGGCCTAAGTAATTGGAGAACTATTAATTATCCATGAATAGGTTGGGCCAATATAATGAAAATGAGAATACTTCTCAAATTAATTTACTTGATCAGTGCTACACCAAAAATTATTAGTTTATAGACTTTGAAAAATAAAAACAAAATTCGTTTCAAAGGACATAATGAAAAAAATGGAAGGATAGAAGCCTAACAGCATCAGAATTTAAAGTATTCAACAAAACTGTAATCACCAAAACTGTTTGGTACTGGTTAAAAAGTGAGAGTAGCTAAGTGGTGCAGTGGATAGAGCACTGGGCTTGGAACAGGGAAGATTCATCTTCATGAGTTCAAATCTGACCTCAGACACTGACCAGCTGTGTGATCCTACGAAAGTCATTTGCCCCTGTTAAGTGTTAGTTTCTCATCTGTAAAATGAGCTGGAGAAGGAAATAGCAAATCATCCTACTATCTTTGCCAAGAAAACCCGAAATGTTTTCACAAAGAGTTGGACGTTACTGAAACAAACAAAAATAGAGAGAATGATCAGTAGAACAGATGAGGTATGCAATATACTGAAACAAACAAATGTAGTAGTCCTACGTTCAATAAACCAACAAATAAAAAAGGCCCCTAACTACTAGGATAAGGTTTCACTACTTGACAAAAACTGCTAAAACCAATGGAAAACAATCTGCTAGAAATCAAGTTAAGACCTACACCTCACAAAATTAACAAAAAAAGTTCTAAATTGATATGTGACAGATATAAAAGGTACATCATAAATAAATTAGAAGAACAAACAAACAATGAACAATGAATAAAATACTTTTCACAGCTATAGTAAAAGAAAAGGCTTAAGAAACAAAGAAGAAAGAATGGACATAGTTGATTACATAACATTAAAAAGTTTTTGTGCAATCACAAGCAATACTGGTTAAAATTTTAAAATGAAACAGGTAAGTGGAGGTAAATCTTTACAACAAGTTTCTCTGATGAAAGTATCATATCCAAGCTATGTAAGTAAAGTATCCAAATACATAAGAACATAATGGTTAAATGGTCAAAGTATTTGAACAGGCAATTCTGAAAGAATTTTTTGAAAGAAAGAAATCCAAACTATGACCAACCATATAAAAATGCTCCAAGTCTTCTTGAAAGATTTCTTTATGATTTCATTTATGATTTCAATTTCATGATCATAGATTTAGAGCTAGAAGAGACATTGGAGGTCATCTGGTCTTACTCCTCTCTTTATGAGTTATGAATTTGAGGCCCAGAGATGCTGAGTGGCTTGTCAAAGGCCACACAGGAAGTAAGCCAAAAGGCCACAAATCTAGGTCAGGTCTTCTAACTTCAAATGCAGCACACTTTGAAGTAAGATCTTGACTCCACTCTTTAACAGCTAGTATCCTTAAGGATTTTTTTATATGATCTTCTTTTAGGAATGGAATTTTTACTGGGAATATGTCATTTTAATCACCAGCCACAGAAGAAATATATTCTTATTTTCTTGCTGCCTATGCTTCTGTAAAAAATCTGATTAATATTTATACTGAGAATCGTTCCACTCAGTAGCTGCCTTTCTTTTTCCAGACATTTAAAAGAGAATTCACTAAATATACTGATGGAAATACTACCAGTGACAGAGTTTCCAACACCAGTGATACACAAGGTCTAGTAAAGTTATTTTCTTAAAAATTGTTTACCATTGTTTACTAATAATTTAGTGATAGTCAAAATCCAGACAAATATAATGGTTTATATGAAAAATAGAGAAGTAATAGAGAAGATATAAAACCAAGTGTAATATTTCTCATCATGTAAAATGTTAAATATGTAGATAAAGTAGATAGATAAAGCATTTATAAATCAAGTGCTTATCGTGTGCCAGGTTCTGTACTAAATGCTAGCCATTTTTATCAGTCAAGAGTCAGATCAAGTTATCTGGTCTGAGGCCATTTTGTTGAATGATATAGGATGAGACCGATATTTTTCTCAAACTGGTCGAAACCACTTCCATGTAGATTAACTTAGACTCAATCAGCTAGATGTTTCTAGCTCATCCAATTTGGTTATGCAATTAATGCTACATATGACCCATATGCTATTTTTAATATATCTTTCACCCAATAGAGTAGCTTTTACACCTAGATAATTAGAGAATTTGGAAAAGTAAAGCAGACAGACTACCTAAAAGGGAAGAGGGAAGAATAAGAGAGAGGCATACAATAAAACCTGATAATAGTAGTCACAAAATTATATTTGGTCCTTGATTTCTTTTTCTTTCCTCTTTAGATCTCTTTGGCACTATTTCTAGCCCTGAATTAGGAGTATATCAAATCAGGATTGGATCTATTACCTTCCAGGTTGCTTCTGGGGACATCACTAAAGAAGAGTCTGATGTTATTGTAAACTCAACAGACAAGACATTTGTCCTCAAAAATGGTATTTTGTTTGAATAATTTACACTAATGTAATGGTTAACACAATTATAATGTGATGTATCATGAATCTCTCATAGTAATGTAGTGTGACGTGGTACTGGCACATACTAGTAGTATATATGACTGGGCACAAGGACCCAGACTCCTGGGACATAGTCCTTCTTAGATCAAGGCAAAGTATATAGCTAGGTTTCTGAGATTCTACATTTGCCTTAGCACTCACTGTCTCATTTATGTTGCTTCTCTCTAGTGGAATATAAACTCCTCAAGGGCAGGAATTGTTTGTTTCTGCTTTTTCAAAAATAATTTATATTATATCTTTTGTTTTTGTTACATCTTTTGTATACCTTCTCTGAGCAAAACCTCTATAACAAAGAATGTTTTAAAGTAGAAAAAAAGTTAGCAAAACTAATAATATTAAGAAAATCTGACTTTATACGGAGTGTTCCAAACCCATGAACTCCCACTTCTGCAAATACATGGGGAGAGATGTCATCTCATATCTATTCCTTCAGACCAAGATTGGCCATCATAATTTTGCAGCACATAGTTGTGATTATTTTGTTGTTATTGTTGTCTTTTCCCTTTATATTGTTACAGTCATTATATATATTGTTTCCCTGGTTCTTACCTCACTTTGTATCAATTTATGTCTTTCCATGCTTCTCTGTGTTTTTCATATTAATAGTTTCTTATAGCACAGTAAGATTCTATTACATTCATGCACCACAGCTTGTTTAGCCAACCCCCAATCAATGGGCATCTACTCTGCTTCTGGCCGTCTGCTATCACAAAAATTGCTGCAAGAAATATTTTCATGTTTATGCAACCTTCCTTTTTGTCCCTGACTCTCTTGGCATATATGTCTACGAGTGAAATCTTTGGGTCAAAGGAAATAGAAATTTGAGTCAGTCAGGTTTTGTTTTAAAATATTATTCCAAACTACTTTAAAGAATGACTCCACCAAATGATAATCCACTAACAATGCATCAGTGTGTCTCTCTTTCTCTAGTCTTTCCAACATTGATTATTCCTACCTTCCAACACTGATTATTAACATCTTTTGTCATCTTTATCAATTTTGAAGGGTGAGAAGAAACCTTTGACCTGACATTTTGATTATTGTAAGTGGATTCTTTCATATTTGAGTATTCTTTACTATGATTGTTGACAACTGGCATTTTTTCTTTTGAAAACTGCCTGCTCCTGTCCTTTGACCTCTAAGTTTTTGAGGAAGCTATCTCTTCAAGTGCAGTATGAGTATAATAATAACTAGCATTTATGTGACACTTTAAGGTTTGCAAAACACTTTAGTAATGTTAATTTAGTTGATCCTCACCACTGCACTGTGAAATTGGTGCTATAATTATCCCATTTTACAGTCAAGGAAACAGAGACCCAGAGACGTTAAGTGATTTGTCCAGCTACTCAGTGTCTAATATAGGATTCTAGCTGAGGTTTTCATGCCTCCTAGTCCTCCATTTTATCCACTGTACCTAGCAGCCTAAAATGTTTTCTGGCAAATTTGATCAGTGTTTAAAGTCATTCCCATATTTGTACTTTTTCTTCTATAATAAGTCTGTTTCAGAGGCCAGGGAGAGCTTTTGCAGAACTCCAAAGCCTATGAGAGCTCCACCTAGTTCCCAGTATAAAATTTCCACATGTACTTCAACAATGGCTAAATGCCAGGTGGTTGTAGCACCTAAGTTAATGTCAAATTTGTCTGAGAATGCCCCAGAATTTTATCCATCAAGTTTTACTTCTAATTACACCAATTTTTCCTATGAAGGTGGATGTGATGGTTATCCTGCCCTTAGAGAATATATGTAAGAGTTTTTTAACCACCTTCCTGAACAGGGAGGAAGTTTTGAAAATGAAATTTATCAATTTGCAGAGACTCTCAATAGCTAGGTCACTACTGATGATGCTTTACAAGACCTCATGGAACTTGCCTACCAACAGGCCACAACTGTACCACACTTCTGTTTCTTAGGAGTATGGCTATGTAATTATTTGTCTTATCATCTAAGTCCTTGAGTATACAAAGTGGAAATTTCCAGCAGTTACTACTTATGAGATGTGGAACTGAGTATTGCAACAAAGATCAGGCTGGCAAAGGGGATGAAGCTACCAGAAAATTATTTCATTTCTTTGTAGTCTTCTTGGGTGAACTTTACCTTAACCTGGAGATTAAGGGAACAAAAGGACAGGTTGCAAGAGTGGATATTTTTCAGGTTGCTCCTGGGAAATTGCTGAATGTCCTTTTTTCTAATCCCATGGACAACAATTTAATCTGTGCAGTAAAACTACTGAAGCTGACAGGATCAGTTTTGGAAGATGCATGGAAGGAAAAAGGAAAGACAGATATGGAAGAAATGATTCAGAGAATTGAAAATACTGTCCTAGATGTAAATTGCAGTAGAGATGTAAAACAGATGTTTTTGAAGCTAGTAGAACTCTGATAAAGTAACTGGGGTAGAATTCATGCCACCTCAACATATAGAGAAGTAATGCCTGAAAATGATCCTAATTCTTTTATGTATAAACCAACATTTTATACATTTGATGGCATTCCTTTTACTGCTGCTGATCTGGATTATCAAGAAAAGTATTAGGAGTTACTTGACACAGAGAATTTTGTCCCAGATTATGAAGAAAATGAAACAGACTTCTCAGGGGCTGGAGATCCATACTTGGATGACATTATTGATGAGATGGACCCAGAAATAGAAGAAACCTATGAAAAATTTTGCTTAAAATCAGAACATAAGAGAAGACAGTAAAGTTATGTAAAACAATATTAGCTTTACAAGGCAATTTAGGCATGGTGATTGGCAAAACAGAAGAAAGCAAGGAAACCTGCCACATTTATACCAAATTAAGGATGATGAAGGTTATGTTACTAATGTATGCAACTTTAATTTTTTAAAATGAAAACTCTGGAGGAAATAATTAGAAGGGAAATATGCAGCTTATAGTGGAAAATGGCAAGCTTTACTACTCAAGTAACAGACTTCATGGAAATTAGAATAGACCAAACAGAAATCAGTCATTCCATGAAATAGCAAGTATTACAATATTTTTTAATTTAAAAGAAAATATATGATGCCTGATGTAAAAAATGACAGATTTGGAAAACAAGTCAAAGAGAGAATCACTGGACTTCCTGAATGTGTGATAAAATAAAAATGTCTGTATGACATTTCAAGAAATCATTAAAAAGTTACCAACTTGTATTATATCTAAGTTCAAAATAAAGATAAAAAGACTCCATTGACCTTTTCCTGAAAGAGGAAAGCACCAGGCATGCCATAGTCAAAATCTATCAAAATATAACGAAAAAAATATCACAAGCAAGCATCCAGAAAGAACCAATTCAAGTACCAAGGGACTACTGTTAGGATCACATAAAACCTGGAAGTATCTACTGAAAAAATTATAGAGTACAGAATATAATATTCCAAAAGCAAAAGATAAGTATTTACAATAACAGTAACTTATCCTGAAAATCCTATGGGGAAAAAAGTACCTTTAGTGGAACAAAAGACTTTCAGGCATTTATGAAGAAAGGCCCAGAGCTGAGTAGGATTTTTGAAATGCAAGCACCAGATTCAAGAAAAACTTAAAAAGGTAAATTCATTTGGGCAATTGGGAAGAACTATATGATGATGCAGTGCTAATATTCTAATGATGGAAAAGAAACAAGTATCTCTTCAGGAACTTAATAGCTTCAAAGAGTACAAATGGTACAGAGGTTTGGGGTGGGCTGTTAATACTATGCTAAAGGCTTGGAGAGGAGAAAAATAAGGAAGGTCAAGAGGAATATAGTAGTGTAGCTAATAGGAAGAATGGAGTGGAACTTGCTATTCCATATAAATAAGTTACATGAGATGAGAAAAAAATAGACAAATATAGAAGAAGTAGTGGGAGTGTGTGAGCATCAGATGAAACTCATGTTTATGTGAAAAGAAAAAAAGAGGGTTGAACACATTGATACAGACTTTGGGACAGAAAAGCATCCAATCCAATTGGGAAAGTGGGGGAGGGATAGTCAAGAAAGATTATAACAAGGTAGCCATAATTACATGTAAGACAAACATCCTAATTGAGGAGAGGAGAAGACAAGGTAGGGGAAAGAAAAGGAGAGGAAAATAGAAGAGAAAAAAAGATGACCTTTGAATCTTTTTTTAAGCATGTAGAGAAGGAATTTCAGAAAGAATCATAGACAAGAAAGATAGATTTAAAAGTGATGTGTGAAATTTATCATATACTTGTTTTTTCTTAAAAAGTAAGCAATAGAAAATGAAGACTCATTACCTCTTTTTTGCATTTTTCTGTGTATATAGAAATGCTTGGGTTTCTTTTGATGATTAAGCACATAAGAAAACATTTAAACTTTTTATAACTTCATCAAGATTTGGCAAAATTATTCAATTTGAAGAGCAGAGTCAAGATGGTGGAGTGAGAGGTCACAACTGCCAAAGTTCCCTCCAAATCTCTTCTACAATGACTATGGAAAACATGCCAAATCATGGGTGTGAAATCCAAGGAAAAGTCATGAGCCATCTTTCCAACCCAGACTAGCTGAAAAAGGATAGAAAGAGAGGTCCACTGATATTGAGGTTGGGACTGACCAGGAGTGCAGAACAATGGAAGCAACACCAGACAGTGGTGGTAACATCTGCTGTGGCTGTGGCAACAGTGGTGGTGGGGAACATTCCAGCATCCAGGGACAGTAAGGGCAAGTGAACATCTGGACAGAAAGGTAGATGAAGGGGCTTCTGTACCAGCGCTAGGCACAGGATCCAGTGTTATCTAGCAGTTTTGTCGCCCTTTACCCAACAGTATAAAGGAGCAGTTGAAAGGGAGCAGGAGCCCTGCCTAAGTAAGGACAAGAGCACAAGGAGGGCAGTAAACAAACTTCTCCTTGGATCACACCATGTTGGAAACAACAAAATCTTCTGAGTCCCCAGAATAAGCTGTGAAAGCAGTAGTAGGACATAAAAGACAAAAGTTTAGGCCAGTCATTCTCCTCTCCCCAAGATAAGCAGAGACCAACTCTAACAAAAAGCACATAATTAAGAAATAGGCTAAAAAGAGCAAAAAAAACCCAAAACAACCCGAGACTATAAAAAGCTACTATGGTGACAGGGAAGCTCAAGACACACACTCAGAAGAATACAATTACTTGAAAACATCTACAAAAAAAACCTCAAATTTTTTTAAAAAAATGCAGATTTGGCACAAGATCAACAAGAATTCATAGAAAACCTTAAGAAATAAGTTTTTTTAAGAGCAAATACAATTATTGTAAAAATTAAATGATTGGTGAAAAAATTGGGAAAAGAAATGAGAGCTATGCAAGAAAATTATGAAAACAGAATTAATAACTTGGCAAAAGAGGCACAAGAATATTGAAGGGAATAATTCCTTAAAAATCAGAATTAGTCAAATGGTAAAAGAGGTAAAAAAAATTCACTGAAGGGAATAACTCCTAAAAAAAATTAAATTGATCAACTGAAAACTTGTGATTCCATGATAAATTAAGAAACAATGAAGCAAAGCCAAAAGACTATTAAAAAGAATAAAATGTCATATATCTCATAGGGAAAAAAAAACTTACCTGAAAAATAGATCAAAGAGAGATAATTTAAGAATTATTGGCCTGCCTGAAAGTCATGCATATAGAAAAAGAACCTTAACATAATATTTCAGGAAATTATAAAGGAAAATTGCACAGATATCTTGGAGCAGAGGGCAAAGTAGAAATTGAAAAAAATTCACTTATCCTAAAAGAAGTCCCAAAATGAAAATTACCAGGTATGTTATAGCCAAAATCCAGATTTCCTAGGTCAAGGAGAAAATACTGCAAGCATCCAGAAAGAAAAAGTAAGTAAATAAATAAATAAAATAGAGTGGAGCCAAAGTCAGGATCACACAAGATTTAGCAGCTACCACTATAAAGAATTAGAGGACATAGAATATGATATTCTGGAAGCCAAAGGAGCTAGGATTACAACCAACAATAACCTACCTAACAAAACTGAGTATATAAATCTACAGGGGAAAAAATGAACACTTGATGAACTAGAGAAATTACTCAATTCAATAAACATTTGTTAACAAAAGTCATGCAAGTTTTTTTTTTTTTTCACAAGAATGTACTTGTGCTATAAGAAATGATAAACAGGCTGATTTCAGAAAAACCTAGAAAGACTTGTGTGGTCTGATGGTGAGTGAAGTGAGCAGATGCAGGAGAACATTATACACAATAACAGCCACATTGTGAGATGACTAATATTGATAAACTTAACACTTCCCAGCAATACAAGGATCTAAGACATCTCCAAGGGCCTCGTGATGGAAAATGCTATCCGCATCCAAAGAAAGAACTATGGAATTTGAATGCAGATTGAAGCATACCATTTGCTATTTTTTTTCTCTTCTGTTTAGTTTTGTTTCCTCTTTCTGGTGGTTCCCCCTATTGGTTCTCATTCTTACTTTGCAACATCACTAATGTGAAAATATATCTAATAGGAATGTATATGTATAGCCTATATCAGATTGTGTGCTGACTTGGGGAAGGTGGTAGGGAGGAAGGGGGAGAAAAATTTTAAACTCAAAAGCATATGGAAATGATTGTTGATAAATCAAAATAACTTGATAAAAATGTTTTTAAGAAAAGAATGTGTGCTTCTTGAGGGCAGAGACCAATTCAATTTTCTTTTTTCATTCCCCCAAGCCTACTAGAGTGCTTGACATGTAATAGGGGATTAATAATTTTTTTCATTCATTCATAGGCCCAGTGTACTAGCCTTCCAAAATTTTTTTGGATCTTCACTCTCATTTAATGTGTTACCTATACTTTCTATGTTTATGTTACCTGAACATTTTTTTAGGTTCTTTGTAGAACATGTTTACTCTCTCATCCTCTGCAATAGATATTGGAGGCACAAACTCCAATTTTTTCAATAGCGATTCTCTTTGAAAAGGGCTACTATGTACACTGTAATATGAAATGACCAAACATCTCATGAAATGGTTTTTCTTTTTGCTTTTGATTTCATGACAAAACTAACTCTTATTTGTGTCTCCCAAGGGGATCCTGTGAGCTATCTCTGTTTAACTGCAAATTCCCTTTATTTTCTGGTTTCACTTATTTAAAAAAAATGTGAAAACTGTTCAGATCTGATTCTTTGAGGGTTGTGGTCGCTCCATGATCATTGAGCAAGGATCTCACATTTAGAGGACTCAATGCCAAGTTAACATTTGAAGGAGGTCCAAAAATTGTGCAATTCTAAGCACCTTTATCCTTTTTCTGTCATATCATTTCAGAAGCCAAAGACAGTCATGTGGAAGTGAAGGCCATTATGTATTTTTCTTGGTTTTATGGGTTTGCATGGCTTAAGGACTTGTCATCAAATGGCCAGTTTCCTGATTATGTGTCTTTTCTTACTTAACTAGATGTGGGTTGTGGTCAGGTTGTATTCAAAGCCATTCTAATATGGTAGACCCTGAATCTGCCAGCCTTTCTTCTTCCCTGGAATTCCCATTCAAGAACTCAGGATTACCTCCACATCATGATGAGGCATTGGAGCATGACTCTGTGAAGGCTATTACAGGAACTTTACATGTAGCTATGATTAAGTGACTATAATGAATATTGAATCAGAAAGATCCCTGGACTTGTTCACTTCCTAACTGTGTGATTTGAGGTGATTCACTTCCTCTTTCTGGGCCTCAGTTTCTTCATCAATAAAATTAAGGGAATATGAAACAAAGAGATCAAAGAAAGAAAAAAAAAGAATCTGTGTATGTATACATATGTATACATACACAGATAGAGAACAAGCAGCTCTCTTTGTTGTAACAAAGAAGTTAAGGATATGGGTATGCCCATCGATTGAGACTGACTAAACAAATGTGGCATAAGAATATAAAGGAATACTATTGAGCCATAAGAAATAATGGAAGTGATGGTTTCAGAAAAACCTGGGGAGATTTGTATGAATTGATACAGGATCAAATGAGTAGAACTGAAAGAATGATTTACTCAAAAACAACAATGAAATGACAAATTTGAAAGGCTTACAAATTCTGGTCAAACTGATGCACTGTTGGTGGAGTTGTGAACTGATCTGACCCTCCAGAGAACAATTTGGAACTATGCTCAAAGGGGTATAAAACTTTATACTCTTTGACCCAGCAATACCACTACTATGTGTGTGTCCCAAAGAAATTCAAAATAAAGGAAAAGTATGTAAGTGTACAAAAATATTTATAGCAGCTCTTTTTGTGGTAGCAAAGAATTGGAAATTAGGTGGTATCCATCAACTGTAGAACGACTGGACAAATTGTGATATATGATTGTGATGGAATACTATTGTGCTATAAGAGGTGATGAGAAGGATGCTTTCAGAAAAAAACTGGAAAGACTTAGATGAACTAATGCAAAGTGAAGTGAGTAGAACCAGGAGAATATTATACACAATAACAGCAATATTGTGTGATGAACAACTGTGAATGACTTAGCTATTCTCAACAATATAAAAATTTTAGACAATTCCAAAGGACTTATGATGAAAAATGCTATCCACCTCCAGAGAAAGAACTAATGGGATCTGAATGGACATAAAAGAGCATTTTAAAATTTTTTCCTGTTTTCTTTTCTTTTGGTCTATTTCTTCTTTCACGACATAACTACTATGAAAATGTTTTGCATGACTTCTCATGTATAACCTCTATCAAATTGCTTTTTTCTCAGTGAGGGGCTGGGAAATGAAAGGAAGAAGTTAATGTGGAACTCAATTTAAAAAAAAATTAATTACTTTTAAATGCAAGTTGAAAATTTTTTTTAAAGTATTCTAGCCAAAGCTATGATCAACTATGATTCTAGAGAACTGATATTGAATAATACTACCCACCTACTGACAGAGAGGTCTCAAGATGCAGAACGAGACATAAATTTTTAGCTATGTCCAATGTGTAAATTTATTTTGTTTGTTATAAGTGTTTTGCTTTTCTTTTCCTTTGGATGGGACTGGTGGAAGGGAGAGAAAATAAGTGTTTATTAATTAAAAAAAAAGAATTAAGGTAAAAAAATAAATAAAATTAAGACATTGTAAAGGATAATCTCTGCAGTACTTCCAGCTATGACGTTATTGATTCTTTAATTCATGTTCACCTCTATTATTATTCTCTTATCTAGGGGTTTCTAAATCCATTTTAGAAGCTGCTGGATCAGCTGTGGAATCAGAGTGTGCCACATTAGGTATGGTATTAATACTTCTGTTTTAGCCATAATCCACTGCAAGTGAAATAGCTGGTAGCAAAAAGAAGGGGATATGCGATAGGATGGAAACAAGTCAGAAACCCTTTCAGAGCTGATCTTCCATGGGAGAGGGGCCCTGAAGGTGAGATTATAATAATTTTCCTTCAAAATTTGAGCTAATGCAAGACTATAAGAAGCAACAACCACACATGGTATGATTTGAAGCAAGCACAAAGTTCCCTCTGTCTCCCTCTTCCTTACCAACCTATCAAAATATCTAAAACTATCAACATTTAAGGCTCTTCTTGGGGGTTAAGACATTATATCTATACATTGTCACCTAGAAAGGCATCAGACATTACAATATTCTCAGATAGTACAACAATATAAATATTTAAATCAATATGAAGAAGCAAGAAAAATCTTGTCAATTCCAGTTATCCATATTGGTACCATAATATCAAAATCAAATAATAACAGCCTTCTTTTCTCTTAACAAATCAACAAACTTAACTGGTCTGGGGGTAATGTACATTTTTTTTTTTGCTTTTTGGTGAGGCAGTTAGGGTTAAGTGACTTGCCCAGGGTCACACAGCTAGTAAGTGTCAAGTGTCTGAGGTGGGATTTGAACTCAAGTCCTCCTGACTCCAAGGCCAGAGCTCTATCCACTGCACCACAAAGCTGCCCTGGTAATGTACATTTAAGGGGATATGTTTGGCTGTTTGTTGGGAAGTATAGCATAAAAAGTACAATCTAATTTTTTAGAATAAGTATGAAATTTGAATACAAATGATCCTAGGAGATATGTATAGAAACCAGATTACTTAGAGTTCTACCACAGCCCTCCCCAGGTAGCCCCCTATGCTTTAGACTTGTCTCTTCAATTTTGAGAAGAAAAGACTTAGGAGTGGAATTTAGCATGGTCATTGTCTTCAAGTATTTGAAGTCTTCTTACATAGAAGAGGGCTGTGACATTCCATACACTTCCAGAGAGAAAAACTTGGACCAATGAGAAGTTTACACCATTAGATTGTGAGCTCCTTGAGGGCAAGGGCTGTCTTGCATTTCATCATACCCAGATTATTGACTTTGTCTAAGACTATGGGATCATAGATTTAGACATAGTGTAAATGTTAATAGTCTTCTAGTTAGTGGTCATCTAACTCCTTCATTTTAACAGATAAATAAATGTAGACCCAGTAAGGTTAGATGACTTGCCCAAGGTTGCACAGTAATGGCATAACCAGTAATTGAGGTCAACTTTTCTGACTCCAAAGTCATTGTTCTTTCCACTATGCCACAGTGTAGTTACTAGAGGTTTGAGGGAGGCAAATTGATCATAAAATTATGGACTTAGACCTGGAAGGGACCTCAGAGCCTATCTAGTCCATTACCTCTTGTATCAAGATGAGTAACGTGAGGCCCATAGAAGATAAGTGATTTGCCCAAAGTCAACAGGTGATGAGTACCAGAAGTGGGATTTGAACCTAGATCCCCTGACTTCAGAGCCAGCATTCCTTCCAGGATACCATATTGCAGCTGGTCCCCCAAAAAAGAGAAATATGTTACTTTATAAGTTAGTTGGCTTTCTATCACTAGAGATATTTAAGTAGAGGGTGGATAATTATGTCAGTGATGCTTTGAAAGGCAGTTATGCATGAGACCATATTGTATTATATGTCCCTAAGGTGCCTTTCATCACTGAGATTCACTAAGAATTTTAGGCAATAAATGAAGCTACACAAGTCACGATGGTTGTTTTCATGTCCTCTTTTACCTAAATAAAGTATCTTATATTCTCAATTATACAAAAGTTTCAGTTGAACTAATGTTTCATACCTTTCTGTCTTCTTCCATTCTCTAGCTGTGAATCATCACAGAAATTTTATAGTAACACAAGGTGGAAATCTAAGGTGCAAGAAAATAATTCATGTTATTGGGGGAAATGATGTCAAGCAAACCATCTCTGAAGTCCTCCAGGAATGTGAACAGATGAAATATGTGTCCATTTCCCTTCCAGCCATTGGAACAGGTTTGTAGCATCCTATCAGAATTAGTTTTTTAAGTACTTAGATTCCCCTAGATTACATATCCAATAGTAAAGATAATCATTAAGGTTGAATCTATATGAGAGTGATGGCAGTGGTAGCAATCTATTTTAGGTCTTGGCAAAGTTTTTAAACTCTGAGTACCATGGTGCTTGTGGGCAAGCATCTTAAGCTATGGATATGCAAGAAGAAAAAGAGAGAAAGATAAGCTGGTAAAGAGCATGACTAAAGGACAGAAGATGAAGGTGGGGAAGAGAGACAGAAAAAGTGGAAAGAAAATAAATTGATCCATTTCTCTGTCTCTTTCACTATCTCTTCTTTTGCCTCCTTTCATTTTCTGTCTTCTCCCCAAGATTTAACTTCCTGGCTTCCTTCTCTTCCCTCTTTCTCTCTCACATCTTTACCCTTTAGGAGAATTAGCTCACTGATTCTAATGTTTTCAACTTCTACCTCCATGCAGATGACTTCTTAGTCAGCAACTCCAACCCTATGAACACCTTCACCCCCTAGTTTAATCTCTCCTTTATTTTTCAGACAATCCCATTTGATGCCACCTGAAACTTTTCAGGTCAAATACTAAATTTATCATTGAGTCATAGACATTTTATAGCCAGAAGAGATTATGTAATTCTAGACTAATCTCCTAGTTTTCAGTTGAGACCTAAAGAAAATAAGCTACTTGCCTAAGATCAATTAATAATAATAATAATAAAAACTAATATTTATACAGTGCTTTAAGATTTTCAAAGCACTACACAAATATTATCTCATTTTGACTTCACAACAACCCTTGGAGGCAAGTGATATTATTTCCCCCATTTTGCAGCTTAGGGAACTGAGGCAAAGCAGTAATGTAATTTGCCCAAGATCATACATCTAGTAAGTTAGTCAGTGTCAGAAGAGGAATTGGAGCTCACGTCTTCCTGAGGTCAAGCTCTAGCTCCAACACTTGATGCACTATGACTCACAGTTAGTTAGTTTCACTTTGAGCCACCAGTAGTTCCAATTAGACTGAGTAGCTTTCCAGAGATCTTTCTGTTATCCCTCCCAACAAATAGGCAGCATTTTGCTTTTTTCTGTCAATAATATCATTTTTCTTCCTTTTTTTCATGGATTACAACCATAAATGCCAGACTTTAATCCTTCTTTCTCTGCATTATATCCCCCTGGCAGTGAGTTCTGCTGATTATTCTTTCACAATATCCTCAGATTCAGCTCTTCTTTTCAATTACCACCATGGCCATCAGCCCAGTCCCTCATCACCTCATACATGGATTACTACAGTAGTCTTTTAGTTGATCTTCTTTCCTTCCTTCATTTTCCCCTACGTATAGTCCTAGGATAATCTTTATACTTTTAAAAAAAAGTTTATACCAAAGATAGAAATGATTTGGTATTTAATCTTTTTTAAAAAATTGAAAGTTTTTCTTTTCTATACAATGAAAACTTTCCAAAGTATACACAGCCTCCCAAAAGAGTACATTCCTAGAAAAAGAGTTTATCAATTGTTGCCAGAAATAAGAGTATGACAGTAGGGTACTAAAATTGACTTTCTAATTGAGCAGTTTTATGGGCTTTCCTTGTTGACTTTATTTCCTTTTTATTTGGCACAGTGTGTGTTGTTCTTTAGGCTCAGCTAGCTTTCTTCTGTCTCATTTCATACAAGTCTTATCTCTGATAATAATAAATCAACTGCTTATGCTAAGGCCAAGTATTTTGGAGTTGATTTCTTTGAGAGGTTGTTCTTTTTCCTCTTCTTTTTTCTCCTCTGCATGATTTTTATACAAGTCTTATAGGATAAACTTGGTGGGTAAAACAGTTAAACTTTCCATCATCCTCTACTTTCAAATCTCTTGCTCCCTTGTCCTGGTAACACTCGTGCCTTGTCATGAATCACTCCACCCTGAATCACTGCCATCTTCTGCCTCCTTCTTTCCTCCTTACTTGCTTTTGAACTGAGAAGGAGACTTTCACACAATTGTGCTCACCAGGTCTGCTACAAATTTATGGTATCCAGTCTCAATAGGCACTTCACTGGAGGAAGGTAGTCTTTTCATTCCTCCTTAAAAGATTCTATTTCCTTGAAAGATGATGTCTGGGTTCTTTTTTTGATCATGGCTTTCAGATAGTCCAATAATTTTTAAATTATCTCTTCCGTATCTATCTTCCAGGTCAGTTGTTTTTCCAATGAGATATTTGACATTGTTTTCTATTTTTTCATTCTTTTAAATTTGTTTTACAGTGTCTTGATTTCTCATAAAGTCACTAGCTTCCAATTGCTCTATTCTAATTTTTAAGGAAACATTTTCTTCATTAAGCTTTTGGACTTCCTTTTCCATTTGACCAATATTGCTTTTTAAGGCATTCTTCTCCACATGGGCTTTTTGGACCTCTTTTGCCATTTGGTTTAGGCTATTTTTTAAGGTGTTATTTTCTTCACGTGTAACTGGGAAATAAGATGTACAGGAAATGGGGTATAGAAATCTATCCTGCCCTACAGGAAAATTGAAGGAAAAGGGGATAAGAGAAGGGGGGAGAAATAGGAGGGCAGATTAGGAGAAGGGGTATTCAGAATGCATGCCATCTTGGGGTGGGGGGAGGAATGAGATGGGGAGAAAATTTGGAACTCAAAATCTTGTGGAAGTGAATATTGAATACTAAAAATTAATTAAAAAATAAAATAACATAAAATAAAATAAAATAAAAAAGATTCTCTTTCCCACTCATCACAGCAGCTATTTTAGAACTTGTCTCTGCTCTTTAGGCCTCTCATTGTAGCCTTTCTTCCATCTCTGAGCTGAGGCTCTCCCTTCCCACTTTACAGAGAGCGTTGAGGCCAATTGCAAAGAACTCCCTCTTTTACTCTGCTCTTTCTCTGACAACTTCTCGACTTAATCTCCCACTGTTTCCTCCTTTGCTTCAGTCTCTGATAAAGATGTCATCTTCATTCCCCAAATAATAAATGGTCAGAGGAAATGAGACATCCCACAGGTTTCTCCACACTCATTTGTCAAAGTGATATTTCTAAAGCAAAGGTCTGACCTCATTACTTCCCCACTCCCTTACCGTGATTCAATAAATTCCACTGGCTCCTTAATACCCCCAGGATCAAGTATAAATCTTCCATTTGTCATTGAAAGCCCTTCATAACTGCCCCCCCCTTATCTTTCCAGTCTTCTTACACTTCACACCCCACCATGAACTCTATGATCCAATGACATTGGTCTCCTAGCTTTTAATTGAAGAAGACACACCATCTCCAGACTGCAGGCATTTCACTGACTGGCTCCCATGCCTAGAATGCTGTCCCTCCTCATGTCTACTGCCTGGCTTCCCTCACTTCCTTCAAGTCCCAGCTAAAATCCCATCTTCTAAAAGAAAAAAACTTTCCTAATCCCTCTTAATTCTTAGTTCCTTATGCCTGTTATTATTTCCAATTTATTCTGTATATTGTTTATTTGCGTATAGTTTGCATGTTGTCTTCCCACATTAGATTATGTGCTTTTGAGAACAGGGACTGTCTTCGCCTCTTTTCATTTCTTTCTCTCTCTCTCCCTCCCTCCCTCTCTCTCTCTCTCTCTCTCTCTCTCTCTCTCTCTCTCACACAGGCAATTGGGATTAAGTGACTTGCCCAGGGTCACACTGACTCACTGCACCACCTATCTAACCCTTTACCTCTTTTCATATACACAGTGTTTATCACAATAGCTGACACATAGTAAGTGCTTAATAAGTGCTTATTGACTGACTGACTTCCTCCTCTCTATCAATACCTAAGATTGGTTTTGTTTTACTCCTATATTTCCTTGTATTGAGAGTGTAGTCCATCAAAACCAGATACATATGAAATATTGTATAGCTATAGCTCCCCATCCTATACTATGGATTTTGTATAATGCAGATGTAGAACTCTAAAATTATCTTATTGATCCTAGCTGTATAGTATCTCTGACATTTCTTCCCTTCTCTCTCCTCAGTCATCACCCAAAGTCTGGTCTTCATCACTTCTCACCTGAACTATCACACGAGTTTTCAAAGTGATCTTCCTATATCCAGCCTCTCCTCTCTTCAATCCATCTTCCACACAGCTGACCAATTGAAATTTCTAAATATCGTGATCTATGACAACAATCACAGGACCATTTTGCCTCCCCGCTCAAAAAATCTTAGTGGTTCCTATCAACTCTAGGATAAAATACCAATCCCTCTGTTTGGCATTTGAAGCCCTTTTCATTCTAGCTTCAGGCTATCTTTCTAGAATGATTTACTCTTCTTACAATCTATGTTAATGTAACCTACTTGCTGGTTCCCACACATAACAATCTCTCTTCCACACCCTTTTACAGGCTCTTGTCTTGTCTGGCATTCTTTCTCCTACCTCTTCAGCTTTGACTTTTGGTATCCTTAGCTTCCATTAAGTCACAGTTCAAGTGATATAGTCTACCTAAGACCTTGCCTGGTCCCTCCCAGCTTTAGTACTCTCCCTCCAGATCAATTGCAAAAGGGACAGAGCTCTGATCTTGGAGTAATGAAGACCTGAGTTCAAATCCCACCTCAGGCTTTGTCTGCTTCAGTTTCCTTATTTATAAAATAAAAGTAATAGTAGCACCTATTTCCCAGAGATGCTGAAAGGATAAAATTAGATGATATTTGTAAATGTGTTGTAAATCTCAAAATGCTATATAAATGCTACCTACTATTATTATTTGCTTTCTGTATATTTTATATTTATGTACTTATGTGCTTGGCATTTTCCTCAAAGACAAATAACTGTTTCATTTAGAAATTTGTACCTGGCCCATAATAAATGCTTGTCAGATTGTTGGATATATAGCTCCCAAAGAACCTTACACAGTTGAATGGCCAAAATGCCAATTAATATATTTATAATAATATAATATCATATAATATCTTTGTAATAAAGCAATTCAAAGAAATTTTATGTTCCTGAATTAAAAAAACAGGAAAGACATTCAACACATTGGGCATCTTCTCTTCTTCACATACTTTCTAAAAGGCTTTCAGAATTCACCCAGTTAAGACAGTTTGCCTACTACCAAAAGACTACTTACCTAAAAGGAGATGGAGCATGAAATGAGCATCTGAATCCAGTGAATAGTCAAGTTCAGACTTTGGATCATTCAGATTCCTGTAGTCATTCCTAATTGAACTTTAGGCTTCCTGAGGGCAAGAATTGTAGTTTCCTGTGGGACGTAGAAGAGAGGGAGCTTAGTCCACAATGTCTGAAATACTGACAGTGAATGCAATAGTGATTATCAATTTGAAGGAAGGAGCATTTATTCATTAAGAACCAAACCTAAGGGAGTAGAGCCAAGAGGATGGAGTAAAAGCAGGTATTTCCTTGAGCTCTCCCCCAAACCCCTCCAAATACCTGTAAAAAATGGTCTCTAAACAAATTTCAGAGTAGCAGAACCCACAAAAAGACAGAGTGAAACAGTTTTCCATCCCAAGACAACCTGGATGGTTGATTAGAAAGGTCTACTATACTGGGCTAAGAGAGGAATGCAGTTTAGTGTGGGCATGTAGGCAAAACAGGCCTCATCAAACCTGAAGCAGGCCTCAGGGGACTGAATCATGGGCAGCTGTGGCAGTTTCCAGACTTCTCAATCCACAAATGCCAAAGACAACTTAGAAGGTCAGTAGGAAAAATCTGTGACCATGGTGAGAGAGAAACTCGATCCCAGAGCCAGTCATGGTGCAGCTCTGGGGCAGTGGCTGTTTCCCCACAGACTGAGGGGGAATCAAGTGGCTGATCAGAGGGAATTTCAGGGATCTCTTTGCTGGTGCTAAAGCAGAATTCTCTTGCTTTGCCCTTGCTTGGATTTGGGTCACTGTTCTGGGTGGTGATCCTGGGGTGAGGAGGAGAGCTGGTGTGATGGAGATTGTAGTGGTAGTGGAGAGGAAATCCTCTTCATAGTTCCAAGGCAGAAAAGAGTGCTTGTGGTCACTCCTAGACCAGAGCCCAGGCCAGGAAAGAAGTAAACACCCCCCCTTGATCATTCCACTTTGAAAGAACTGAAAATTTACAGGTCCCTAGAAGTATCTCTGAAAAAAGCTGCACAAACCCCCCAAAGATTGGGACAGTACATTCTCCACACTGGAAGCAGACCCTTACCTTAACAAGGAGTTTAAAACTCAAGTAATTGGCTGGGATCATGAACGAACAACACAAAAAAAGTCAGACCATAGAATCTTTCTTTCAAAACATACAACCAGAAGAAGACAACAAAATCAAAGCTCCTACATCCAAAGCCTCCAAGAAAAATATGAATCAGTCCCAGGCCATGGAAGAGTACAAAAAGGATTTTGAGAAGCAAGTAAGAGAAGTAGAGGAAAAACTGGGAAGAGAAATGAGAGTGATGCAAGAAAATCATGAAAAACAAGTCAACACCTTGCTAAAGGAAACCCCCCAAAAGACTGAAGAAAATAGTACCTAAAAAATAGCCTACCCAAAATGCAAAAGAGATCCAAAAAGCCATTAAGAAGAATGTCTTAAAAAGTAGAATTAGCCAAATGGAAAAAAAAGTCCAAAAGCTCACTGAAGAAAATACTTCCTTAAAAATTAGAATGGAGCAATTGGAAACTAGTGAATTTATGAGAAATCAAGAAATTGTAAAACAAAACCAAAAGAATGAAAAAATAGAAGACAATGTGAAATATCTCATTAGAAAAACAACTGACCTGGAAAATAGATCCAGGAGAGAGAATTTAAAAATTACTGGACTATCTGAAAACCATGATGAAAAAAAGAGCTTAGACATCATCTTTCATGAAATTATCAAGGAAAACTGCCCTGATATTCCCGAACTAGGAATATTATAGCCAAATTCAAGAGTTCCCAGGTCAAGGAGAAAACATTGCAAACAGCTAGAAAGAAACATTTCAAGTATTGTGGAAAATATCAGGATAACACAGGATTTAGCAGATTCTACATTAAGGGACTGGAAGGCTTGGAATATGATATTCCACAGGGCAAAGGAGATAGGATTACAGCTAAGAATCACCTACCCAACAAAACCAAGTATAATCCTTGAGGTGGAAAAATGGACATTCAGTGAAATAGAGGACTTTCAAGCATTCTTGATGAAAAGACTAGAGCTGAATAGAAAATTTGACTTTGAAATACAAGACTCAAGTGAAACATGAAGAGGTAAACAGGAAAGAGAAATCATAAGAGACTTATTAAAGTTGAACTGTTTACATTCCTGCATGGAAAGATGATATTTGTAATTCATGAGACTTTTGTCAGTATTAGGGTAGTTAAGGGGAAAAAAAATTATATGTGTAGATAGATTGATAGATAGAGGGCACAGGGTGAGTTGAAGATGAATGGGTGATAACTAGAGAATAAAATTAAGGGGAAAGAGAGGATTATACTGGGAGAAGAAGAAAGGGAGAGGTAGAATGAGGTCAATTATCTCACATAAAAGAGACAAGAAAAAGCTTTTACATTGGAGGGGAAGGTGAGAGGGAATGAGTGAATCTTACTCTCATCAGATTTGACTTAAAGAGAGAATAACATACACACTCAATTGGGTATGGAAAGCTATCTTACCCCATGGGAAAATAGGGGGGAAGGGGATAAGAGAGCTGGGGGGATGATAGAGGGGAGTGCAGATTGGAGGAAGGGGTAATCAGAAGCAAAGACTTCTGAGGAGGGACAGGGTCAAAAGAGAGAATAGAATAAATGGGGAGTGGGATAGGATGAAGGGAAATATAGTCAGTTTTCCACAGCACGACTACTATGGAAGTGTTTTGCATGACTACATATGTATAACCTATATTGAATTGTCTTCTCAATGAGAGTGGGTGGGGAGGGAGGAAGGGAGACAATTTGAAACCCAAAGTTTTAAAAACAAATGTTAAAAAAATTGTTTTCACATTCAACTGGGAAATAAGATATACAGGCAATGGGGTATAGAAAACTATCATGCCCTAAAGGAAAATAGAAGAGGAAGGGGATAAGAGAAGGGTGGGGTGATAGAAGGGACTGCAGATTGGGGAAACGGTATTGAAAATGCATGCTCTCAATGCATGCTGTCTTGGGGTTGGGGTAGAGATGAGATAGGGAGAACTTTGGAACTCAAAATCTTGTGGAAGTGAATGTTGAAAACTAAAAATAAATAAATTAATGAATCTTTAAAAAAAAGAAAAAAAAGAAAAAAGGACAAGGGGAAAAAAATCAAACCTACTAACTTTTTTTTAAATTTGCTAGGTAATGGGGTTAAGTGACTTGACCAGGATCACACAGCTAGTAAGTGTCAAGTGTCTGAGTCTGGATTTGAACTCAGGTCCCCCTGAATCCAGGGCCAGTACTCTATCTACTGTGCCACCTAGCTGCCCCCTAAACCTAGTAACTTTTAAATAGTACTTTGCAGCAGAGAGACAGTAAGAAAAAGGGGGAGGTGTTATTTATTATTGCTTTGTTCTTATCATTTTTTAATTTTGTTCTTTCAGGACAGGCCAAAAAAGACCCTACTAATGTTGCTGAAGCTATAATTGATGCCATTAAAGATTTTGCACAGAAAGGGTCTGGCCAATCAGTGAAAAAAGTGAAAGTGGTCATCTTCCTGCCACAGCTACTGGAAGTGTTTCATGATACTATGAAAAAAAGAATAAGCTGCAAGCCAACAACCTCAACCTCTGTGATCTCAAAAATAAAATGTAAGTTGTACATTTTCTTTAAAGGGCATGTGCCTATGATTTACCTTGCAAATATTTAGAGTAACTTCTCATGATATTATCATTTATTTTTAAAGCATTTTTAGGTCTTGGAAGCCAGCCTCCCAAAAAACAAGATAATTTGGTTTTGGAAAAAATAAAAAAATCAGCAACTTTCCAGGTGTGTGGTGAAAGCAAGGAGAATATTGAAAGCACTATCTCTTGGATACAAGATTTGATTTTAAAGGAACAGGAAAATTGTATTTTCTCTGATATATCCATTCAAAAATTTGGTGAAAAAGAATACACTGAACTGAATGAGCTGCAAAAAAGGTTAAATATCATCATTGATGTGAAACATGAAAGATCTCAAATTGAGGTCACAGGAACTATCCGAGATACATTGCAAGCTTGCCAGGCAATTCAAGGCATGATCAAGAGAACACGCTTACATATGGATGAGGAGTCTAAGGCTGAGGAGCTCAGTAGAACCACCATATGGGAGTATAATGACAATGGTCTTTTCAAACCTTTTGACAAACTAACTAATCTGCATTTAGAGGATGCAAGGAAAGGAAAGAAAAATAAGATTGTTGTTAAAATTAAAAATGAGAACTACACAGTAGACTTTAATGCTAACCTTGCTACAAATGTAAAGGGACACAACTTGCCTGTTCGTTGTATCAAAAAACTTGAAGGTAGGTTCAGCTTTGCTTTATTTCTCTTAATATTCTCTCTGTCTCTTTCTATCCCTCTGTCTCTCTGTCTATCTGTCTCTGTCTCTCTTTCCCTGTCTTTGTGTCTCTGTCTCTCTCTATCTCTGTCTCTCTCTCCCTCTGTTCTCCCTCACCTTTCCCTCTCTATCTCTTTATTGCTTTAACATTCAGCCAGTAAACATTTATCAAGCACCTGTTATGTGTCCATGTACTGTGCTAATCCTCTGGTAGTACAAAGAAAGGCAAAAGACAGTTCCTCTTCTCAAAGAGCTAAAAATTCAATGGGGGGACAACATGAAAATAACTGTACAAACAAGCTAAAATGTTAAAATGGGTAAATTAGAAATAAAGTGGTGTAGGAAAAGTATCTCTCACTAGTACTAAAAAATGGGAATAAAGTCTAAAAATTTGGGCAGCTGGTATAGCTGTTAACCTCTTCCTCTAGAGTGCCTCCACTGTCCCCTGTCTAGCACCCTGGACAGAGATGGAAAGCCGACAGAATGCTTCTTAATGATCTCTATTTAAAACTACTGAATATTATGGTTTGTTGGGTATCATCTGATCAGTCAGCAACCACTTATTAAGTACCTGTGTGAGGCCCTTTGCTAAGGGCTAACTGGAGATATGAAGAAAAGCAAGAAGATTCCTTGTCCCCTTTCTAATAGAGCAGACAACGTGTAAAATAAGTAGGGACAAGATATATACAGAGTAGTTGTAAGGTCATTTCAGAAGGGACAGAATGCACTAGAAGCTGAGGGTACTGAGAAAGACCTCCAGAAAAAGGTGGGTTTTGAGCTGAATCTGGAAGGAATCCAGAGAAACTGTGCAGTAAAGCTAAGGAGGGAAACATCCCAGGTGCAAGAGACAATCAGAAACAAAATGCAGTGTACAGGGAATGGTGAATAGGCCAGTATAGCAAGATTGGAAAGTGAGTGGGGGGGAGTCAAGTATAAAAAGAGTCAAAAGGTAGGAAGGTGATCATTTATGAAAGTCTCTATATGCCACATGGGCTGAGACTTAACAAGGCCTGAGTAACACCAAGAACTGGTAAAGGAAATAGTTGGGCAAGATGTCTTATGTGAGGTGAGGTAAAGAAGACAAGGCAGCAGAAGGGGAAGCTATCATCAAATGACTTAATTTTTTTTATTAAATATGAAGCAAAGTCATCAGCTAAGAGGATAGGGAGGGGAGTACTATGAAGAAGTTAGAAGAGAAGATTTGAAATAGCTCTTTATTGAGCAGGATACCTAATCAATTACAGAGGAGAAAGACTGCTTGTTGTAGTGAGTGTCCAGCTGAGATGAGATAATAGATTTTTAGTCAATCCAACATCATCTTAGTTTTGTGATTTCCTCCAGCTACATGGACACACAGCCTCTGGAGAGACATGCTGGATATATATGGTAGAAATAATCCAGGTATTAGGAGAAAGAGTGGGATAAAGGATGCCTTCATGATCATTCCTCTACAGGGAGGGGAGACAGGGGGAAGAGGTTAAGGGGATCTCAGACAACTATGGGGATTGGTGATGGAAGAAGCTTAGTAGGTTTCACTAGCTGACCTGAACAAGTAAGGCTAGTGTGTTTATGAGAGGGAGCCACAAGGCTGAGGTACCACAAGAAAATGATTGATGGTAGCCTCCTGATCCCCAAATTTGGGTTGTAGTTTCTCAGCTGCTAGTATCCTAGATTTTTTTTTTTCAGATTCTAGGGTCTAGTTTGGAGAAGCCTGTTTTATTTTGGTTTTGGAGCTGTGATTTCATGGGTATAAAGAATGCCCAGTGAGAATATTCTCTCTATCCCTCCCAGGGAGGAAACACCTTCAAAAGATAAATACCTACATGGCAACTTACAGTCTTAGGAAAGCTGCTAGGGCAATGAGAGTCGAAATGATTTATCCTTGGTCAGGCATCCACTATGTTATCAGAGGAAGAACTTACTCACTTTAAGTACTGTTCTCTCTGCCCACTATACAATATTACTTCTTCATTCCCCCCACACACACTTCGATTATAAATTAATACATTTACTTTCTAGTTTGTAATTCTATGTCTTCTGAGATTTCTTTGTCTCAAATCATTTCTGCAAAAATCATTTCTGCTTGAACTAATAAGACAAAGTTTCTGAACCCATGCCAGGTACAGGAACCTGGGACATAGGTGGAAGGCATTTCCTACTAGCCTGTCTTTCCTACCAGCCTTATCCATTACATTACTGCACCTGCTTTTCTATTTAACTCTCATGAATCCAAGAATGGATATGAAAGAGGGAAGGAAACAACTATTTATTAAGCACCTACTATGCATCAGGCACTGTGTAAGCACTACCAATATCTCATTTGATCTTCACAACAACCCTACAAGGCAAGTGTTGTTATTATCCTCATTTTACAGTTGAGAAAACTGAGGCAGACAGACATTAAGTGAATTGCCCATAGACTCACAGCTCATAAATGTCTGAGGCTGGATTTGAACTCAGATCTTCCGGATTCCAGGCCCAGTGCTCTAGCTACCATACCATTTAGCTGTTTGTGAAATATTTTGGGAAGATGAACTCTAGATGAATTTTGTATGCTAGTGTTTTAAAATAAAGTAGCAATTCACTCAATTTGATTTAAAATATTTGAAGGAAATAATTGAATGATAAGAGGCAGCATGGTGTAGTAGATAGAACTTGGATATAGGAAGACATAAGTACATATCCTGCTTCTGACTCTTACTAGCTGTGTGACTCTGGGCAAGTCACTTAAAAGCCCCAAGACAATTCTCTTAGACTAAATTATAGATGGGACACAATCTGTATTGACCATAGAGGTAAAATAATAGACTTACGGTATATTTAATGCATTAATTTGTTCATCAGTTACATGTTATATTGATGGCAGGGTGAGCAGAACAAGTCAATACATACTCAAAAGGGCCCCATGTGTACGTCATTTTTTTTTCTTAATAGTATAATATGTTTTATGTAATGGGTGCATACATAATGTTTATTAAATTGAATTGAATTCTCAAAACCTAGCAATAAGAGAATGCTAAAAATTCAGATACTATTCTGCTTTTTAGAGAGCACTAGAGTCTTATCCTTTCCTATGGGAGGAAATTATTAATTATCAAGTGTTTGTCTTTCAGTTGAGATCCCTAATCACTGGGATGAGATGAAAGACCAGAACCTTCTTTTGGTGGATTTACCTCCAGGACATCAAGAATACAACCAAGTAAAAGACAAGTTTTCTCAGACTTGTGCTAACTTCACAATAGAGAAGGTAAGCCTACTCTATATCCTTGCCATTATCTCTAATCCTCCATTCCTCAGTACTTTATCTAGCCTTCACCCCTGCTCTTCTCTCTTCGATATATATCTAGTCTGAGGCTGTCTCCCGTATGTTAGTTGACCTCAATGCCTACTGGACATTCTCAGCTGTATGTACCGTAGGCTTCTCAAGTTGAGTATGTCCGAAACAGAATTGATTATCTTTCTTCCAAAACCCTCCTTTCCTCCCAACATTCTTATTATTGCTGATGGCACTACCATCCTCCTACTTTTACAGGTTCACTATCATGGCATCCTCTTTGATACCTAACTGAATCAGAGTGGAATTGGCATACCCTTGGTCTTATCATCACCTAGAAGTGTTTCACTTCCATGTTCATGATCTCTGAAACCCCTTTATCTGGTCATAATCTTTTATCAATCTATCATCCTTGTGCCTAATGATCCCTAAGCCAATTCTTCATCTTCATCAGTTATATTAGCTTAAGAAAATTATTGGTGTATATATTTTTAATGGAATAGATTTTAGTATTATTCCACATTGATTCTAAAAATCTGCCAATAATAACAATCAGATGTGATTAAAATTTAAATTGGATATGGAAACCTAAATGTAATTAGATCTCTTTTCCTAACTCAAAGTTTCCTGCATCTTTTTAGAGTGTACAAGGTCATTTCTTTTCATCAGTTTACATGGCAAAAGAAATTACAATGTGTCCCAAACTGTCAATATCTGGGGGTGGGGGAAAGAGGAGTGGGATAAGAGGACAATTGAGGCAACCTGGATCTGGAGCTAGGTATTATGGAGAGGCAAAAAAAAAATAAATGGGGTTTCTGTTGGTTTGTCTTTGTTTCCATTGGTCTAACACCTATGGAGCCTATGTCTATGATCTCCAACTAAATCACCTCCCCATTCTAAGAGCCTAATTTTCTTCATCTGTAAGGTGAGGGGATTGGATTAGATGATTTCTGACACCCCTTCTAACATTCTGTGATTCAGCAAGGAGCAGCCGCTATTCATTGTTTTCTAACTCAGAAGAGACCAAAAAAAAAAAATCAACAACCACTCACCTAAGTATGATTTGCTTTGGAGTTTTATTTTTTCTGTTTATCCCCACTGTTCCTTCCATTTTCTGTTGTTTTGGACTCTTCTTGTACCAATGGAACAGGTTAGTGGAAGAGTTGGGATTAGGAAAAGAGACAAAAGAAATTTCCAAAGGCCAAGCCATTGAAATGGCCTATCCTGTAAATGAGAAAGAATGTTAGCCAGACCACTAATTCTTGAAAGCTTGTATGTCTATGATATTTAAGGCTCCATACAAGTATTGTAGCCCATTTACAAATAGATATCAGCCCTGGCCCCCCTCCCCAATGCCTTAAAAATAAAAAAGAGACAATGATACACATAAAAATACTAAACTTTTGTTATAAGTTGGTATTTTCCTTTTTATTCACAAAAAGCAAGCAAATTTCCTTTTAAAATTTTAGTGGAATACCAAATAGTAACAGAACTCAGAGGAAATATAATTAAACCAACTTGCTCTTATAAAATTTGCACCACCCAGTGAAGTATTCTTTGTTAAAACATGCTTATTGCGGCAGCTAGGTGGCACAGTAGATAGAGCACTGACTCTGAAGTCAAGAGGACCTGAGTTCAAATCCAGCCTCAGACCAAATGCTTAACACTTACTAGATGTGTGACCCTGGGCAAGTCACTTAACACCAATTGCAAAAAAAAAAAAACCCAAAACAAAACATGCATATTACATCTTATTTTCTATTTATCAAAGGCTAATGAAACTTTATTTTTCTTCCAGCTCATCTAGTTCACCATACAGCAATGGTTAGCTTATTATCAGACTCAGAATGGTGACCTCCTCAATTATTTTTTAACTCAGGGGAAGAGAAAAAAACCACAATAAGATATTAGAACTGGTGACTGTGATGGGTGAGACAGTATCACAAACCCTAGCTCTCTTGAGACCTATTAACAGACTTAAAAGCAATGTAGCATAATCATGGTCCTAGATCAAACTATATTTTAAAAAGGCATTTGCAGTGGAAATATGTTTTACATGATTGCACATGTATAACCTATATCAGACTGCTTGCTATCTTGGGGAGGAGGTAGGGAGGGAGAAAAATTTAGAATTCAAAAATCTTATAAAAAATGAATGTTGAAAATTGTCTGTACATGTGATTGGAAAAAATAAAACACTATTCACATTAGGAAATAAAATAAAATAAAATAAAAGAGCTTTTGCAGATTAGGATAGTGTTCAGCATTTGTCCTTGAACTTTTGGATCACAGTGATTATATGTCAGTGTGCAGTGTGTGTGTGTGTGTGTGTGTGTGTGTGTGTGTGTGTGTGTGTGTTTTAAATGGGAGAAGAAAGATGGATAACTTTTCCCAACCTTGAGAAAATGTCAGCTATCAGAAACAAACTAAAAAATGATTCAACTTGAAAATGACAACTGGATAGAAAGTTTGCTTTGGAGTTGATAAGTGTTTATTTCAAACTGAGCCTCTCACACCAAGCACCTCCCTACAGCTTTGTGTTTCCAAGCAGGTGCCTATCCATGTTGGTTAGGATCCTCACCAGGAGTGCCCTATACTAAAGGTATCAGATGTGCAATTCAAAACAAAACAAAATTTCCAGAAAGTGACCAAATTAGTCAATATTTCTTTTCAAAGCATATCTTTACAAAACTCTACATTTACAAAGTTATCTGGACATAAGAATATATTTGGAAAACAAAATAGCTAGCACTAAACTTGATGTTTATTATTTTATGCTCAAAGGAAAACTATCCTACACAAAATCTAAAATGGTTTCCTATGGATTGATCATTTTTAAATTCACTTCCACAAGTAGTTCATGCCTAACACTGTGTTCATTTCCAGTGATTTTCCTTTTGTAACTTGTAGATTCAGAGGATACAGAACAAAAGCCTTTGGAATTCCTATAACATAAAGAAAATATTCATGGATGACCAAAACAAACACACAAATAATGAAAAATTCCTCTTCCATGGGACAGATGTTGACTCAGTGTCCCATATCAATAGCCAAGGCTTTAATCGCAGTTATGCTGGGAAAAATGGTAAGTAAAACAACAGGTATCTTGTTTGCTTCAAAAAGTTTGAAGATGAAGTGTGGCTTTCATATCACACCATCAGCACCTGAACACTAAAGTGTGTCACCATGAAATCTACTTTCCTCCTCAATCAATCAACATTTACTAAGCACATACTATGTGCCAGACAGTGTGCTAAGCACATGGAATACAAATACACAAAAAGACACAGTCTCTGCTCTCAAGGAACTTCCAATCTAATGGGAGAAGATAATATGAAAAGGAAGCTGAAAAGGGAATGGGGGGATGATGGAAAAGTAAGGGAAGACCCAACATGGTATAGCTAGGTGAGAAGTGAGAAGTTATCAGAGCTGAGCTCCCTCCTTAAATGGAGAGTCAGAGTTCATTACACACACACAAAGACACACACACACACACACACATCTCTTTGGCTTCAATAGCCTTTCCCTGATGATATATGACTGTGAATAATAAAATACAGTTATCAGCAAACAATCAAAATTATGAGTGACTCAACAGGCAGTGGGTGAGGCACATGGTAGGTATAAAGAGGGACATATGGTGGGTATAAAGAGGATGGTCACATGGTCAACAATGAGGAGGACTTGAACAAGAATTGAAAAGAATGAGGAGGTCTAGATGGGTTGAGATCTTCACCAAAGACTTAGAGATTTAGAGCTAGAAGGGACCTTCAAGTGGATCCAACCCCCTCATTTTACATATGAAAAAATGGGAGTACAGAGGTCAATAGCTTTCTGAGTATCAAAGTTGACAAATTTCTGAGTCAAGATTTGAACCCAAGTCTTTCCTGACTCTATAACCTCTGTTCTTATCCACTATACCCTCCTGCATCTCCAAAATATCATCAACCCTACCAAAGTATGAATGATTGATAGGTTATATCCAAAAGACACAATAATATAAATCTAAAGGGCACTTAATTTCAGTGGTAGATCAAACGATTTCTGTTGGTTGTTTTTTTCCATCTATGACCCCTTCATATGAATTATCACTTCTCTTTACAGTAGGTGAATAACTACTTCCAAAGCTGATTTTTAAAAAACGATGGATACATTTTATTTTGTTGTGGTCCAACAAATACACTGAAACAAGGCTCACATTCACCAATATAGCCTGTTTCTGAGTCCTCAACAGAAAGGAAGGCTGTGTCCTTTCATTTCGACAGTATGATACTGCCCCACACATCTAATCTGTTGCCAAGGCATGTTTCTATCTTCAAAACATCTCTCATACATATCCCTTTCTCTTCACTCACACAGCCAATACCCTGGCACAGGTCTTCATCATGTGACTCCTGGATAGTTGCAGCAGCCTTCTCATCTCCCTGCCTCAAGTCTCTCCTCACTTCATCCATCTTCCACTCAACCATCAAAGTGATTTTCATAAAACTCAGGGCCACAAATGTCACCCCTCTGCGCAATGAACATCAGTGACTTCCTGTTATCTCCAGGATCAAATACAAAATGCTTTTTTTGCATTTAAAGCCCTTTACAATATAGCCTTTCCCTATCTTTCCAGTCTTCTCATAGTCTACTCACACATACTTAAGAGTCCAGCTACACTGGGTTTCTTGCTGTTCCTCACACACTACACTCCATCTCCCAGTTCTGGAGCTTTGCACTAATTATCCCCCATGCCTCAAATGCTCTCACTCCTTACCTCTTCCAACTGGCTTCTTGAACCTCCTTCCAGGCTCAGCTAAATCACACATTCTGCAGAACGTCTTCCTTACTGCTATTGATTTCCCTCTGAGATTACCTTCCATTTATTCGATATATATACATTGTACATTGTTGTTCACATGTTGTCTTCTCTATTAGAATGAGAGCTCCTTAAAGATAGGGAGCATGTTTCTGCCTCTCTTTCTATTCCTACACTTAGCACAGTGCCTGGTACATAATAAATACTTGTCACCTGACAGGCTGGTTGACCATTGTCCTTTGGGGTTGATTAGAGATTTCTTGCCTCTCTATGTTGACTGTGCTTACATAGTTGCAGTCATTGTCTATACAAAAGTTTTTGGCTATGCTTTTTTTAAAAATAAATTTATTTTGATTTATCAGTAATCACTTCCATAAGCTGTTGAGTTTTGAATTTTCCTCCCCTTCCCTTCCCACCTCCCTCCCCAAGATGGTGCACAATCTGATATAAAATATACATATACATACCTATTAAACATATTTTCACATTAGTGATGTTGTAAGTAAGAATTAGAAGCAATAGAAGGAATCACCAGAAAGAGGAAACAAAACACAACAGAAGGAAAAAAAATAGTAGATAGTATGTTTCGATCTACATTCAAACTCCATAGTTCTTTCTTTGGATGTGGATTGCTTTTTTCAGCATGAGGCCTTTGGAGTTGTCTTAGATCTTTGTATTGCTGAGAAGGGTTAAGTCTATCAATATTAGTACCTAACTGATTATGTTATTCCCTTCTTGAGCCAAGTCTGAGAGTAAGGTTCAAACAATGCTCATCTCCCTCCCTCCTTTCCCTCTGCTTTAATAGGTTTTTGTGCCTTTTCCTGTAATGTAATTTACCCTTGTCTGCCTCCTCCTTTCCTTTTCTTTCAGTACATTTTCTTAGTTAGGTCAGATTAATCCACTTACTTGGATCCATTTAACCCCCTTGATTAGATTTTTTTTTTGCCATTACATCAAAGTCAACTTATACCCACCCCCTTCATGTATACCCCTTTAACATGGTGTAATAACAATACAGTTCTCAAAGGTTACAAGTTCATCTTACCTTGTAGGGATGTAAACAGTTTGCCCTTATTAATAACATGCTTCTTTCTGTCCCATTTACCTTTTTATGTCTCTCTTGAGTCTTGTATTTGAAGATCAAAATCTCTGTTGAGCTCTGGTCTTTTTATCAGGAAGGTTTGGAAGTTCCCTATATCATTGAATATCCATCCCCTCCTCTGAAAGATCATGCTCATTTTCACTGGGTAGTTGATCCTTGGTTGTTGGCTATGCTTTTAATAAAAAGACTTCTAGATAAGTTACAAAGAGGCATTAGCTTAATGAGGGAGACTGTGAATTCAGCTTAACAAATATTTATTAGGCAAGTGTTTTGTGTAAATTCTTATACCAGAGCAGGAGAATGCAATGATTAAATAAGACAAAGACCCAACCTTTAAGGAATTTACTAAGGAGGTGTTTTGTGTGTGTGTGTGTGTGTGTGTGTGTGTAATTTAAAATGAAAGATTAAATGTGATGAATGCAAAGAGAAAATTCCAATAAAATGAAATGAGATTTTATTACTTTGATCATGTATCCAGGCATCATCATTATTGGTATAATAATACACATTTCATAATCTTAATTTTGTAAAAATTTGTCTTCTTTTTCACAGCTACAGCATGGGGGAAAGGAACTTATTTTGCTGTCAATGCCCTATATTCAGCTAACAACACATACTCCAAGCCAGATATCAATGGGAAGAAGCATATGTATTACGTGAGAGTACTTACTGGTGAATACATTCTTGGAAATTCATCATTAATTGTCCCTCCAGCAAAGATAACTCAAGATGCTAATGTTCTATATGACAGTGTCACTAATCATATGAGAAATCCAACCTTATTTGTCATATTTTATGATAATCAGGCTTATCCAGAGTACCTCATTACTTTCAGGAAATAACATTTTGGTTTCACATCCAAGAGATATCATGTAGACACTTCTTTGTAGCAAGTTTTAGCTTTCAATGTATTTTTTTAGCTCACAACATTCATTCTTGTTGCTGAAATTAGTACTTTTTGCATTATCACCAGTGTGATTTTAATTTATGCTTCTTCTTGTCATTCCCCAATTGATAAATGGTCAAAGAATATGAACTGGCAGTTTTCAGATGAAGATCAAAGCTATCTTTAGTTATATGAAAAAAATGCTCAAAATCACTATTGATTAGAGAAAAGCAAATTAAAATAACTTTAAGGTACCACCTTACACCTACTTTGGCTAATATGATGGAAAAGGAAAGTGATAAATGTTCAAGGGGATAGGGGAAAATTGGGACACTAATGTACTCTTGGTAGAGTTGTGAACTCATCCAACTGTTCTGGAGAGCAATTTGGAACTATGCCCAAAGGACTATAAAACTGTGCATATCCTTGGATCCAGAAATTCCACTACTGTGTTTGTATCCCAAAGAGATTTTTTAAAAAGAGGGAATGTACCTATTTGTACAAAAATATTTTTAGCAGCTTTTTATGTGCTGGCCAAGAATTGGGAATTCAGACTATGCCCAACAGAGAATGGCTAAACCACCTGTGGAATATCATTGTAATGGAATATTATTGTGATATAAGAAATGATGAGCAGATTGATTTCAGAAAAATCTAGAGAAACTTACATGAACTGATGCAAAGTGAAGTGAGCAGAACCAGGAGAACATGGTACACAGTGGCAGCAATACTGTATAATGAACAATTGTGAATGATTTAGCTCTTCTCAGCAATATAATGATCTGAGACAATTCCAAAAGACTCATGATGAAAAACACTATCCACATTCAGAGAAAGAACTGATGGAATCTGAATACAGATTGAAGCACACAATTTTCACTTAATTTTTTCCATTTTTTTCTTTAGGTCTTTTTCTTTTTTCACAACATGACTAACATGGAAATATGATTTGCATGATTGTGCATATATATCCTATATCAAATTGCTTACTCTCTTAGGAAGGGGGGAGGTAAAGGATGGAAGGAGAAAATTTGGAACTGAAAATTTGAAAAATTTGAATGTCAAAAATTACCTTTACGTGTAATTGGAAAAAAATTAACTTTTATACATACATACATATATACATATGTATATGTATACTTCTTGTGAGTTAACTGAAGGCAGGAGACATTAGGTATTACTTTCAATGTGTTTTCTTAAGTCAGAGTATTTATCTTTGCTGTTGAAATTAGTCCTTTTTCACTACATTGTTGTGGGTTTTAAGGTATGCTTCTTGTGAGACAATCAACGGCTGAAATCTTGGTGGGGGGTGGTATTTAAACTAGAAAAAGTGGACATTGGACCTGGAGAAGAATGAAGAGTAGATTCCTGTTTTCTCAAAGAGAGATAAGAAATAAAATTGGTTACAAAAAGCAGAAGAAGTAGTTCTGGGAGTCTGAACTTGTCTTCTTTCAGTATAGAATCATACTATAAGTAGAAAGATGGGTGAAGAAAAAGAAGAGGGTAGATACAGGTGGTAGAGTAATGTAAGGATTGGCTTTCCTGGAACACATTGAGACCACATTGGAATGGGAAGACTAGTTCTTTTTAAGGGGGTGGGATTGCTCCTCTTGCACGCCAAGAACAATTAGAAATTTTGACTGTCTTGAGAAACAAACCTTGGCACCCCAGGCAAAATGAATGAATCACAGACTCTTAGATCTGGAAGTAGGCCCCAAACTCCAAAATCTCTTAGTCTTGAGACTTGACTCAATCTTTACAATGTTATCCACAAGCAAGAGTATCTGGAGAGACTAATAACTAATGTTTTTCAAATAAATGAACACACATAACAGACTATAGTATAGTGTCAACATAATTTTTATATGCTCTAGGAAACCAAAAAATTCATGTGATTTGCTTCACTAAGAGCCACTTTATTGAAGTGATCTGGAACCTAACCCACAATATCTCTGACAATGACATTATAAAGAAAAAATATTTTGAAAGACATTAGAACTCTGAGAAGTGCAATAACAAATCACAATTCCAGAGGACAGAAAATGGAGCACATTGCCAAAATTCCTGCCAGAGAAGGGATACACTTACAACAAAGAATGACACATATATTTTTGAAGAAGGCCATGTGGGGTCCCAACTGGGGAGAAGCCATAAAATACAGTAAGTGAAAAGCCATTAAAACTTAAATTCTGAACATGGTGACCTATTAGAAATCATAACTTAGTTACTGAATCGTAATTTAGACACTGAGTCAAAACTTAAATCCTATGACCTATAAAAGCCATAACAAGAATATCTTGACCCATATGTGACTGGTACACAATGAATACACAAACTTATATTTGGGCATTACATTGACTTAACTCCCAAGATCATTACTAAATAGAAAACCAAAACTATCCACCAATCAGTAGTGATGCACTCTCTTGCTCCTCCTCCCTTTGTCTGTTTTCTATAATTACCATGGGGATTGTTGGTTTTGGGGAGGAGGGTTTGTGGAGATCTGTTGAGCTGTCTGGCAGCCACTTTGGATTGCCCTTGTATGTAAGTAATTGTAATGATTGATTAAACTACTACCTGTAATCATTCTGGAGATCCTTGGCCTCTTCCTTTGGTGTCAAAAAGAACACCCCACGGTTATGGGGGATATAAAGGGTTCCCCAACCAGGGGAATCCTGGACCTTATAAGCCAATATGAATTTTCACTTTGCTTGGCTATACTTTGATGCAAAAGTTTTGGTTTCCTTTACTGTTGTCCTTTTATTGTTTTATTGTTTTTTTAAATAATTATTAAATTTTTAAAATGATTTTAAAAATGTTTAAAGGAATTCTGAAAAGGTGAGGTCGATGTGTGCTATAATAGAGGAAGAACAGCATAATCAAAGGCATAGGGAGAGCAGTTGGTGGCGATGGTGGTTAAATGGGGTGGGGGGTTGGAGTGGAGATTATAAAGATCTTCCAGAGCTGGCCTGACAGCTTTGGACTTTTATCCTAATGAGTTATCTATATCTACACTGGGGCATTTGAGATTCATGACCTGTTTTGAGCAATCCTGGACTACCCTTCTACAGTCAATTTCTCATATTTTGTTGTGCTACACAACTATTTCTGAAGTCAGATTACTTGGAATCACAAAGAACAATTCTGGCCTCCCCAGGTTAAGTACCTCAAAATATGCCTGGGGCAAAGAGTAAGTCAAATTCAGTTGGGAAGAGAGAAGAAGGAGCTTGAGATATTTTAGACCTTGGTACACCCTGCTGGGGAGGCCACTGCTAGGGGATAAAACAGGCTGGGAGCAGTTGGGTAGGCGTGTATTTGGGGTACAGCAGCTATCTGATAGCTTTCCTTTTCAACTGTTCTTGCTAACTAGGTGCTAGGATTTTTTTGTTTCTATCTTCTGAAGT